GCTGCTAGTACTACTACTACTACTACTACTACTACTACTACCACTACTACCACTACCGCTACTACTGCTGCTAGTACTACTACTACTACTACTACCACTACTGCTGCTACTGCTGCTACTGCTACTACTACCGCTACTACTACTGCTGCTGCTACTACTACTGCTGCTACTGCTGCTGCTACTTCTACCACTGCCACTACCACTACCACTACTACTACTACTACTACTACTACTACTACCACCAGCAGCTACGGTGGCGACTACTACAGTACTGGCCTGCCCAGCATTCCGCCGGCCAGCACCGTGCAGCCGTCGTCGGAGCAGCGCTTCAGGACATTCCCCAAGGCCGAACAGGCACCTGTGCATTCATATACTTACCTATAGTCTCCATTGTAGTTCCTTCTTTTGGTTAACCAAATTTATATTCTAGGATCCTAACCATAAAATTGGTTAACCAAAAAACGGAACTCCAATAGAGACTATAGGTAGTATTTACGTGAGGAAGCCAGCACTGCCGTGGACGAGCACTGTGAGTACGTGCCAGCGTGTGCACATGCATTCTTAACAACCTACGCGGTGGTACATCTTGCGGTTTTGCTGTTATCCGCTGTGTAATCTGACGCTTCTATAATATTGCACGCATGTACGTGCCTGCATTCGAAGCTGGACACATAGAACACAGACAGGCACACCGACAAACAAACAAACAACACAACCCAAACACACAAACAAACAAACAAACAAACAAACAAACAAACAAACAAACAAACAAACAAACAAACAAACAAACCAACAAAACAAGTAATCCAACAAACAAGCACACAAGCCATCAAACAAACAAACGCATAATCCCAACAAGCCAAACACACACAAACACACAAACAAGCAAAAATGAAACATCAAACGAAACCCACCATTTCAAAACAAACAAACGAACAAAATCCAACCAATCCAAACAAACAAGCAAACAAACCAAACAAACAAACAAACAAACAATCCAAGCCTGCGGTGGTCGTAGTCGTGGTCGTTGTGGTAATCGTCGAAGTTGTTGTCGTCGTTAAGCATGGGACTTCCTGAGGACGGCCAAGATCAACGCCAGTCAAACAGGCTGAAGAAAGCTTGACCCCTCACCAACCTCCATCCCAGATGCCTAAGAAGCCTTTGACCCACAAACCCCATCAAAGCCCACGACCCGGCCTGGAATGCACCAGAGCCACAGAATCGGCACTCCACGTTCTTGCCTCAAAGCTGAAAAGTTGGGGCTTCGGGATCCGGCGTCAGAGTGTCAGATCTACTGGGACTTAGTAAGTAGGGTTATAATTAGGGTAACTATACTTTTAACCCCAATTAGGGGACTTATAACCTTACTTACTAAGTCCCATGATCCTCCAAGTATGGCTCTCGATGGAGCTTTCGGAGTTGGAGTTCAAAGGGCTCAGAGGCTCGGAGCTCTTATAGGGCTTACCCATATAGGCCCCATAGGTAGTTCTTTTTTGGGGGTTTCATTTTTAGAATCCTATAAGGTAATCCCGAAAAGGGACTGCTATGGGGCCTATGGGTAGTGTTTAGATGTGTTTAGGGGTTTAGGGGCACCCAATTTAACACACAAAGAGCCTCAAGCCCCAAAGCCTCCAGTCCAACTCAACTTGTCTGAATGATCCAATAGAGATCAAAGGTGCCGTCGGCGAAGCAGCCCAGCTTGCCGAGGTGGCAGAAGGGGTCCCAGAAGTACCTTGGGAGATCTTGGCAGATTTCTTGGTTGTATTTATTATATAGTGTATTGCAGCCCGCAAATCCAACTAAGACTGCCAAGGCCCCAATGGTCAGCTAAAGCTTGTTTGTAATCGCGGTTCGTGAAGCTAGAAAGATGCAGTCTTTGTATGGCAGCCGGATGCTCGAGAGCAGGCGGATCCGTCTCGAGTGGAGATGTGGCAACCATCTAGGTGTCGGCTTTTCTTTCAGAGCCTGCTGATGTAAAGATGGAAAAACAGTAAAAGCCGCACAGCCAACAAGCCCCCACAGCCTTCCACACTGTTCCGTGATCTGGCTCGTCATGGCTCGTCACCAAGCCGAATCGTTTCAACGCATGATAGGCATGAGAGTTTCAGTTCTCAGGCAGGTGCCCAATCGCCGGAGGGTTCGGGAACTCGCATGAGCCAGAGACGCCCGTCTTTCCGGTGCAGTCGTACCTGGGTGCTTGAGATGGTGAGGACTGGGACATGAAACCAACTTTGATGCGCATGTGATCGGACAAATCAAGCCTACTACAGTGCTACAGCAACAACAGTGCATAGCAAAACAAACAAGACTATGCATGATGTGTAAGATGCAGTCAGGTCGTGAGGATGATTGCATGTACTCTCAGAAGGGTGCAGAGGAAGGCGCGGGCCGCCTCCCCTCGTGTCAAAATTCCAAGCTGAAGGCGCTTTCATCCAAGGAGCCGCTTCCCCAACTGGCAGGTAGGAGCCTCCGGCTGGGCTGGGTTTAGGGTTTAGGGTTTAGGGTTTAGGGTTTAGGGTTTAGGGTGGGAACTTAGGGAAGGGCTAACTGGCGACCTGGCCACCTGAAACTACGAATTCTGCATGCGAACTCCTTGTGACATGGTGCCGCCCCTAACGACATCCAGCCGGTAGCTTGGAGGTCGACTGTGGCAGCTTGGCTCTCAAGGTTGCAGCTACATTATGACAGCCCATACCTGAGCCGCTCGAACTCCTCACCACCCTCCGCGGACAGAACTTCACAGCATTGGGAACACCATTCGCAGGCCTCGACCACAGACGCGGATGGGCCTTGGCTTGTCTTGGGATTCCGCCGTGCAAACTCAACCTTTCCTTTGTCCTGAAGCTACACCTAGTACAGCGTTGAATCCCAAGGCCCTTCCACGCCTACGATCTAATCTGGCCCCTGCTCCGTAGCATCGAAGCTGCAGTTTGCTGCGAACAGGTTTCTGGACACTCTCTCTTACATGTACCTCTAGACGTGCTGAGCCCGAACCGCGAAATATCCGCAAACCATCACTAAACCCTAAACCCATCCATCCCTAAACCCTAAACTCTGAACCCTGAACCCTAAACCCTAAACCCATCCATCCCTCTTTGAGCTCTGACGAGGCCAAGGGACAGGTCCTCGTACCCTCGGGCGTCGGGCAACACTCGGAGCCTCCCCCAAAACCCCCGCAGCCAACGGGATTGAGGCTTTACCCACAGGGTTTAGGGTTTAGGGTTTAGGGTGTAGGGTTTAGGGTTTAGGGTTTAGGGTTCAGGCCCCATAGTACCTATAAGGGTTTAGGGTGTAGGGTGTAGGGTTTAGGGTTTAGGGTTTAGGGTGTAGGGTTTAGGGTTTAGGGTTAGTCTCCATTGGAGTTCCTTTTCTTGGTTAACCAATTTTATGGTTAGGATCCTAGAATATAAATTTGGTTAACCAAAAAAAGGAACTACAATGGAGACTATAGGTAGTTCCGTTTTGGGGTTCATGTTTAGAATCTTATAAGGTAATCCCAGAAAGGAACTACTATGGGCCTATGGATAAGGCGATCTATTAGGATTTAGTAAAGAGGCCTTAACAGTGGGTTTTGGGGTACATTATCGTATAACTGTATAACGAAAAGAAAAAGGCCCCCAAGGAAAAATAATGAAGTAATTTCTCTGCTCCTAAACTCTAAACCCTAAACCTAGTAGTTGAAGGCTCCTTTCAGGCCGTGGGGATTTGGGGTTTGCCGTGCCTCGGCACTGGTCGGTGCAGCTTCCATCGGGACAGCAGGGCACCTGATTGCCACGAAGCTCGGACAAAGAGCCGCTAAAGCCTCATGCAAATACGTAGTATCGGGGCCTAAATAAGTACCAATACGATTTTGCGGTTCATTTATTGTAATTGTAGCTGTCAGATATCATGACAGACCCCCAAAACCGCATTCTAACTGTTGATTTCAGGCACCTATATTGGCCCCATGACTCCATAACCCCAAGCAAACCTGGCAACCAAATCCTGAAACGCCATAA